TTAGTATATTGGGAACTGTTTTCCCCTTTAGTTCCTTCTGTTCACAGATATTCATAAATAACGACTTAGGGTGTGATTTATTGCTCCAAAGTATTGTCTTTACCACATCAATTAAATAAATACACATCAAACATAATGATAATTGTCTGATGCTTCTCTGGGTTCACTCCCTGGCCTTCTGTTCTGTGCAGTTCATATAATTCGTATCTGTAGATTATAATGATAAACAATAAGGGTTGTGGAAAAAATATATTTTGCTTAACATCAACATATTTCAGCCCCTATTAGTGACAGTGTTTTGCTGAAGAGAACTGAATGCCCATAAACCACCTGTCCTTTAGGGGAGTTTGGGTTTAGCATTTGAAACTCTTAGCTCAGTAACTACTTTTAGGAAGTAAAATTACTTTTACTTTGATTAATACATTGTATAATAAAGACACTGTTTTTCATTCCCATAGAAGAAAGTAGGTATTTATCTCTTTTTTGTTTCTTACACAAAGGGTAGATGAAAATGAGAGGAGATGTTCGTATGCTTTTCAATCAATCTGTATTAATAGGAAAATACATTTATTTTCACATATTTCCTATTACCAAGAACTAATAACAAAAATTCTAATTAGTGTTATGCATGGCTCTTTTAAACAAATCTGCACTTTACACATTTTTAATTAATCTCCATCGTTCATATTTCTAATTGAAGTGCAATAATACTTTGAGAAGTTGCTGCTTAAAATGGCTGGGAAGGGACAATGTCAATAATTGTTTTTATTTCTTAGCATCATAATGAATTCTATTTAAAATGTATCAGGAAAATTAATTTTTAGAATATACAGCTATGCAAATTTAATCAGATTTGGAATTCAACAGGGGAATATTTTCTAATTTTCAGCATACTATCTATAATAAATTTTTTGTAAGGAGATTTTGTGAACAAATTCATTGATGCCACATAAGCCAGAAAATAATCTGTGCCTTTTACATTCATGTGCTATTTTTAACTGTTGTGATTAGAAAGGGGTATTTTTTTTTCATATGCATTCATAGATGTTAAAATGCAGTTCATACACACACAAAAAATGTGTGAAAAATAAATCATGCATTAGGCAGGATGTACTTACGTGTGCTTGTTCTTGTATAGACATTTGTTTGGCTCATGTTCCCCTTGTAATCCATTACAAAGTGCATATCTTTTCTGCAGAACTGCTGTATAGGCAATCATTCCTGATCCCATGTCATGCAATTGATTATTCTTGGCTATATATGCGTGCTCCTCCCTGCTGAACTATATTATTCTTCCTTTTCCAGTCTGGTTTGCCTATTTGTCAAGATGGTATTGAATTCTAATGCTGCTATCTAATGTAGTGGCAGTATATTCCAGGCTGATATCACCTGCTGCTTCAATGAAAATAATCTCTCTCCCACCATTTAGAGCTCAAATAAATATATTAATTAATTAATACTAGACCAAGTGAAGAACTCTGCAAAACCACACATTCTGTATTGTTCCAATCATGAACCAGTGATATTCTCTATCATCTAAGATTTTTACAAGCATTTTTGCCATCTGTATGTTATTTTGTAATAGTTTTATCTGTACCTTACTTCCATACCCTATTTATAAGAATGTCATGCAAGAAGTTCTCAAAATCTTACTCTATTTGGAAAAGAGAGGAAATTAACTACTGAGAAGAGTTTTCTGGGGAACCTCGCCTGCTTACTGGAAAAACTGATTTAAGAGGTTTTATCTCTGTTAGACCCACATGCACTTTTCCTCCTCTATTTTTCACCTTCAGGGCTCTTTCAGCTGGCTGGACATTACAATGGTTGATGGCTTCTCAGCTCCCACCCCACAATTCTGTTTAGAGATAAGTCTGTACCATCAGGTATCTCACTTACCCTCCCCAAAATAACTGATAATGCATCTGAGACTGCCTGACTCCATTCTTTAAGATTATGGAGTCAAATTCATCAGGTTTTGTCATGCAAAAATATTTGACTTACATAAGTATCTTGAAGCCCATTGTTTCTTTACTTTCTTGACCCTATTACACTCTCCCCTCCCCCCAAATAATACAGGCAAATGTATAAATAATTAGAGCTAAAAGAAGACCAGACATTCCACATACAAACCATTCTGTGAAACTTAGATCTTTTCGCCTCTACTAAATATATTGTTACTAGAGGCCCTACTAGGCTATATTAACAATTTAATTTCCAGATATAAAAAATGAGGCAAAATAGCTGTGAAATGATGAGCTCTCCTGTGAAATTGTTTCATTTCATACTCAAGAATACATTCATCTTATCACGACAAGAGGTCAGCAAAACTAAGCTGAAATATTGTTTTAGTGTTGATAAGGTTCAACTTTATCCCATTAATCCATTTCCAGTTATCTTGTAGATAGAAGGTATTACACTGCAGCCTCAAAGATGGATGGAAAGCAATATTGTTGCCATGCACTTGCCAACGAAATACCTTAAGAGGCACTGTAGAAACACTAAGGATTACCACTGTAATTTAAGTATGGGACCTGGGGAAACTAGTGGTGTTGGAGAGGGCTAACAGGATACAGACTTTTGTGGTTGTTGAGAGCTTAGTTACCTAACATTAATCCTGTTTGAGAGAAGATTTCAGGATCAGGACATGTATTGTGACCTTCAGAATCAGCATTATTTGTGCAAAAACTTTGTTATTCTTACAGCATCACATTCTAATCTCAGAAGCTTTTTAGACAACATCAAAAAGCACATTTAAAATGCTGGTATATAATAACCACTTCAGGAATATTTAATTGAAACGGTAAACATGAAACATCTGCAATTGTCAACATAACTTTACATTTCCTATTAGCCCATAGCTTATGTTGTAAAACAACAGATTGCAGGACTTTTTTTCCCTCGTGGAAAACTTCTACAAGTATAAACTTTCTCTTTACCATCTCAACTGTTTTCTCAGCCTTTTTTTCCCAACTGCAAGATGCTTGTGCAGCTGCAGTATCAGCTGGCATCCTTCGATCTGGTGGCCAATACGACCAGAACTGGACAGAAGGTCTCAGGTCTTCATTTCTCTCTCCAACAACACTTGTGCACCCATAGCTATAGGCTACATGGGCTTTTTGCCCAGCCTACAGACCAAACAGGTACATCAGTGATATGGGTGGGTGCTGAGATAAGCAGTGGTGTAAAGCTGATGGTACTGATGTTCACCTGTGAATGGAAAAGCCTTAGGTCTTGTGAGCTTTCCTTCTCACAAAACTAATGGTTGGAATTGCGTTCTATCTTCTTTATAAGTGATACAGAATTACATCAGAGAATGAAATTGTTGAGTTTGGCTTCTCTGATGTTTAATCTACTGGTTATATCTATACGTGCATTAAAACAGAGATCTCTGTGAGGTTACCTATAAGAATAACAGTTTAAGAGAAAAAGCTCCATTCTATTTGTTGAATAAAATAATTATTTCAGTGTTGCTAATTTTTTTTAGCTCTTTTTCCTTTTTTAATCCCATCTGTTTCTTAATCTAAAAGAATATAGAGATTTATCTTCTTATTACTGACATGCTGATTTTGGTGTGTCTAGAAGCAACATTTGAGTGGCATAATTGAACTTAGTGCCGAGACTGTTTTAATTACATTAATTTTAATTATATACAGTACATTTTAATTATGTAGACTGAGACAGGGGAATTTCCATCTATTAAGATGGTCTGCAACACGTTTACATAATGGGACCCTACTTCTGTTTGTTAGTGTTACTTTTCTTGATGGCTTCATTATTGGTGGAAGGTGATTTAATTCAACTTTAATTTGTATTTTTAACAAGCACATTTGAAATCCACTTGACATTTTTCCTTGCCCTGCACTGGAAGGATGCATTTTAAACTAAATTTTCAAACTAGAGGAAAACAAAGGAAGCTCTCTGTGTGTTACCCAGTTCCTCTGTCAGACATGATTTCTGGGAAATCACTTTGAGTGTTTTCAAAACACCTAAGGAAAAAATCATGTGTAATGTATGAATATTTCCTTATCTCTTTATTCACCACAAAAACTTCATGGCTATGCTCAAGTGTGTTTTGAGGGGGAATGCATATTTACCATTAAAGATAGAATTCCCAAACAGGGCTTTAATCTCTGATACCTTTCTTAGACCTTGTTTTTATGTCCCTGATGTGGCCAAGGGCACATGTACCTACTATCTGGAACATGGTACTTTCTCTCAAGTCCTTGCAATGTGTCATGGTTTTATGTTTTTTGGTTTTCAGTATTCCGCATCAAAACATCCTGTAGTGTACTGGGACTTTAAGTGTTAATGCTCCAATTCCAGGTACCTATCCTTATACATTATGGAAGTCATGGGATCTGACCCTTCCGGGTGGGGCAGTCTCTTGTTGCCTGGCAGTGGGTGCTGGAGGTTGCTTTCCTAGCCATTCCAAGCTTTTCAGGTTTGACTCGGTCTCAGG